CTGGATCAAAGGACATTTTAGACAAAAAATAAAATTTTATCAACATTTTTATCTTGTAGCATTTTTTTTTTTAAGTCAGAGTCTCACTCTGTTGCCCAGGCTGGAATGCAGTGGCACGATCACTGCCACTGCAGACTTGTTCTGCTGGGCTCAGGCAGTCCTACCTCAGCCTTCCAAATAACTGAAGCCAAAGGCATGCTCTACCACACCCAGCTAAACTTTTGGTTTATTATAGAGATGAGGTCTTGCCAAGTTGCCCAAGCTGGTCTTGAACCCTGGGGCTCAGACAATCCTCTCACCTCTGTCTCCCAAAGTGCTAGAATTACAAGGCGTGAGCCACTGTGCTTGGTATCTTTTTTTTGAGTTGGAGTCTTACTGCATTGTCCAGGCTGGAGTACAGTGGCACGCTCACAGCCACCCCAGTATTGACCTGCTGGACTCAGGGAATCCTTCTACCTCAGACTTCCAAATAGTCAGAATTATAGATGCACTACCATGCCCAGCTAATTTTTTCATTTATTGTAGCAATGTGGTCTTACCAAGTTGCCCAGGCTGGTCTTGAACTCGTGGTCCCAGGCAATCCTCCCAAAGTGCTGGGCCATCATGCCTGGCTGCATTTTTTTATCTTGTAAAATAGTGTTATCACTTTTGATAAGGAATGGAATAAAATAGTTATATTACATTTAACCGTCAGTGCCATTTTTTTCTATTATTGGTTGTTGTTTCATAGGAGGAAACCTATTGAGTTTTAGAGAAGGTGACACTTTCTGGTTGGAGAGTGAACTAGAATATCAAAGCAGTATTCATCATAATTATCAAAGTATTGCTGGGTTGGTTCTGGTTGTTTGTGCCTTAACTTTGGATCTTTTCTTCAACAGAATATACTAACTGAAACAATGTGGTGATATAGTGCTGGGAGCAAAAAAATTGTCTTAATATTAACTTATTGCTTTCATATGGGTCATAAATTTTTATGGAGTTAAATACTGTGCAACACACCAAGCATAACTGACTCTATTTGCTGATCTAGTTTTGTTCTGTAGACACTGCTGTGGAGCTTACAGTTTGTTGACTAAAGCTTTGATGAGAAGGTTGGAATCTAGAATTCATTTTCTTCAAGTAATTCATTCTTGAGATATCAGAGGGAAGACCAGACTTTTTGTATTTAATTGGTTCTGTGTGTACTTGGTATAGGAATGATCACTTAGAATGCCACTATTAATTATTTAAAATTTTATCATGGTCCAGGCACAGTGGCTCAAGCCTGTAATCCCAGCACTTTGGGAGACCAAGGTGAGAGGATTGCCTGAGCCCAGGGTTTGAGACCAGTCAGGGCAACTTGGTGAGACCTCGTCTCTACGATAAATCAAAAAATTAGCTGGGTGTGGTAGTGTGTGCCTGTAGTTCCAGCTACTTGGAAGGCTGAGGTAGAAGGATCACCTGAGCCCAGCAGGTTGAGGCTGTGGTGGCTGTGATCATGCCGCCGCACTCCAGCCTGGGCAACAGAGTGAGACTTCAAAAAAAGAAAAAGAAAAATTTCTACACACGTCTGTGCCTTCTTAAACAGGTATTAGCAGTTGTTATAAAAGCAATCCAATCCAATCAGTTCATGGTGGTCAGGGCTACAACTGGGAAGTTGAGTTATTGTGCTTGTTATAGTGTTCTTGGAACTGATCTAAATATAAGGAAGGACTCTGTCTCATACCAAATAACCCAAGACTAATCAATATGCTGCTTATTTTTTCTGATTCCTCAGTGTGCCAAGTTTCTCTTTTCCTGGAAGTGCCATAGTCTCAGATCTGATTTGTGGTTTCTAACTTATTGTGGATTAAGATACCTGATAACATGGCTTAGAATTATATGTGCCAGGCATGGTGGCTCACACCTGTAATCCCAGCATTTCTGGGAGGTGGAGATGAGAGAATTGCCCAAGCCCAGGGTTCAAGACCAGCGTGGGCAACTTGGCAAGACATCGTCTCTACAATAAATAAAAACAAGCCGGGCTTGGTGGCTCAGCCTGTAATCCCGCGCCTTTGGGAGGCTGAGGTGAGTGGATTGCCTGAACCCGCGGGTTCGACACCCACCTGG